TTGGTCAGTTACAACACCACTGTATTTACTGTTAAGCTAACAGTAGGACTTCTACGGTTTTTTAAATCCCGAATGAGTACATATATCAGCAACCATTCAGGAGCTTTTTTATTGTCAAGAACCCATCGTGCAACTGACGAAAGTACAAAGTATTGCCTTAATCGTTCTGTTTGTACGATCTATCAAGCCATCACCCTGTAGATTGTACCAAGTGGTGTGTGCGTCCTTCCAATTCCGAACACAGAACAATCTTGAGCTCCAAGTTGACTGTTCAGCGTGTAAGGCCACTGAGCTCCACACCTTGCTACGCATGTGTTGCAGAACTCATTCGCCACAGTAACTGCGTCTTTCTGTGGAACTGGTACCGCCTCACACCACACTTGGTAAAATATTCAACCATAGCCACAATATATAGATTACCACTTTCTCTTGGACAGCGATGGCAACTCGAGGAGTCTAGCCAAGGTTCAGAATGAATACCAATCTGAAATTTTTTAAGTGCGAGGCGAATATAACAGTCAATTGTGCAGATAAGCAAATAAATTATTGGTAGTATGACGATAGTAAATGAAGAGTAAGTAATGCCCAATATTTTCAAAAATGATTTTTAATAAAAAAAATTCTTCGAAGGTAAAATGCTGAACAAAGAGAGAAACAGGAGGCAGAGGCTTTTTATTTCGTTTTAAGAATGAAGGTCTGATGAAAGAAGAATTTTCGGTGATACAACAGGCTTAAAATCAACAAATAGTTCTCGTACAGAAGTACTGAATTTAAGCTTTATACATATGTATATATATGCATGTACTCAAGCAGTGTGGGAGTAGCCTTTGACTTAAGTTTTGTATTTGTTGGCACTCATCAGCGAGGCATACCTGTGATCTTGATGGAACCCATGTCCCTTTTAAGATTCCACTGCTGTCACCCATAACTGCATTCAGAGACGTTACCACCTAGTTATTTAAGCCCAAAACAAATGATAGACGTAGAATAATTGAGTCGTTCTTAAGATCATGCATTGGTAGGTCAGAGGTAAAATACTCGCCAACCACGCACATGGTCAGGGGTTCAGTCCTTCGCTAACATACTCTTAAATCTAGTCTAGATGGTAGTAAGTCCTGAAAAGGAGGAAGGTTAGACTTGGGTTGACAACCACATCTTGTCAGAAAAGAATAAAAGAACTTCAAAACTCAAAGCTGGAACTCTTCCACACGGAACTCAAAGAAATATTATATATATAGCACAGAATTTTATCGCACCTAAATGTAAGCAGGTTTCCTGTCAAGAGCTTGAAAAATCACAGTACTACCAAGACATTTTTTCAATTATTTGTTTTAAATAGTATTTTGAGACCTTAAGTCGATATTAACTGGAAGTGTTTCCTAGAAAAAAGGATTGGAAGTACCCCTTCTACTCCAAAGTAGTTTCTAAATGCAGTTAACCCTACACATACCGGTCAACTTTTACGCATTCAGTCGTTGATTTTGTCAAGAACCAACATCAGCTTAGGTAGTGGATGGCTGTTTCGCCCTGTTTTTAAACTCTTCTTCAGTGCATATCTTTGACTCCTGATGGATTAAACTGAGAACCCTCGAGTTACGGGACCATTCCGCCGATGATTTAGCCGCTGAGTAAGAATTCAGTCATCGGTGGTTTCTAACACTTATCAATTAGTGATATAGCCCTATCACTGACCAATGAAATACATAGATCAACATCCGTTTGACTCTGACACAGCGGACTCCATCAACTAAAACTCTATCCTATAGCCACTAATGTATTACAAACTAATATATATATATATATATATATATACTTTACCTGCAATTTATTAATCAATCATTTCACATACGTGCACGTATGTGTACACTTTAGCAAACACACACACATAGAATATTTAAAACAATTAAATTTGGATATCGTTATGTTAAAGACGAAATTTATCAGAAAAATGCAATGCCTTTTTACGCAAAACATTTCAAACAATCTGATTACACATATATACACTTCTCAAATGGATTGAAATAAAAAAAATGAAAAAAAACCAATTAAAATAAACAAAATAATAAAGCATATTGCCAATATAATCAGATTGTTTTAATTGAATTTTAGATTTCCTCATCGATTGATTGGAGCGAAGGGCTTAGTCTCAGGTTGACATATCGACTTCTTGTGCAGATGCTTTGACGATGTCTGGACAAGTAATTAGAATTTAATTAAAAATGGTCACTTGCAGTGGAATTCAGGATGCATATATCGTCCTATTTGAGACTCGTCAGATAGAAGTACCTGTCTCAGTGGGAACATCATCACTCACTGGGGAACGCAGGTACATCCGGCTGACGAATTTCAAAAGGACGAAACGCACATCCTGGATTCCTTTGCTAGTCACCATCCTCCAGTTAAATAATCAGATTATGATTATTAAGCCAAATTAAGGCTAATAATAAAAATTGTTTTCGTGCACGCAGAAGGGTGAAGTTCAGTTTGATCAATAGCTATTGCATATTTTATCATAACCCATCTACTTTTCAAAGCTGTTTTGATATCAATCTTATGATTCATATGAATTATGCATTTTGTTTATGAACCAGGTTCGTAGTCTGACACCTGCGTTTATCAAGGTTTCAGAGTTCAAATTATTTTTTGAGACATTTTTAAGTATCTACTCTTCCATCCGTACAGGCCAGAAGCAACTATGTCTCACACACAAATGTAAATTAGTATACAACATGGGATTTAATATTTGTATTCACTAAGAAATAATTATCAAGTCCTTATTTAAACATGTAGTCGACTGACTGGAGGGTCAAGTTTCACCAATGATAGAGCTGTCAAAAGATTTCAACAATCGGATGCTAAAATAATAGAGAAGATTTGTAGCTCAAGTGGATGATTTGCAATAAATAGTGTTCTCTGAGCTGGTTGATTTAGTCAGGAGCCTTTCGTCTTCCTTCTGGACAACATCTCCTTTCGGCGCAATTTCAGCATAAAGTGAAATGATTTACATTTTTCATGAGCGATAGAATTGTGTCTCCCGGTAACCATCTTTACATATGTATTGATCATTTTTTGTTGATTTGGGTTTTAAACTTTTCATCACATGATTCACTTTTTATTAGTTAGTATTTTTGGTCTATATTAACATGTTTGTTAATTGCATATTCGTTTGAGTGCCAGGCTTCTAGGAATTCCCTGACTGCACTTTTGGTGTTTCCTCTGTCTAAGATTTCGGCATTTTCCTAATCAAACTGGTGTCCATATTTGTCTACATGCATTGATACTAAAGAACATATATCGTGTCTTTTCAAGGCTGATTTGTGTTCTTGAATTCTGATTCGAAGGGGACGCCCACTTTGGCCAATGTAATGCCTGTTACAGTTCATACAAATTATTTTGTAAATGGTATTAATTTTATCTCCTTTTTCTGTTGGATCTTTCAGAGGGCATAATATCGAATTATGTGATTTGACTGGCCTGTGTGCTTTACCTATATCAAACGGTTTCAATATTCTAGCTGTTATTTCAGAGATATTTCTTATGTATGGTAGGATGAATTAATATAGACTAAATATGCGAACTAATAAAAAGTAAATCAGGTGACCAGAAAGTTTAAAATCCAAGTCAAAAGAAAATGATCAATACATGTGTAAAGATGGTTACCAGGAGAGGCAATTCTATCACTCATGGAAAAAATATAAATCACCTCAGTTTATGCTAAAATTTCACTGAAAGGAGATGTTGTCAAGACGGACAACGAAAGGTATGCAACTAGACCAACCAGCTCAGAGAACACAGTTGCAAATCGGATGTTATTCAGTGAATTTTTATTCTCTAAGATGCTTAAGGCGTTACAAATGAACACTGTTAGTATAGGTGAAAGACACCTAAACACTACAGAGGTGCATAATTTCATGTTAGCCTACTTAAAAACGTCTCCCCCTGCACTTATAGCCGCCTATAGTTACATCTTTTAGAACTAGACAAGAGTATTCAGGGACCTACAGTTTGGTCAAAAAAAAATGCTTTCGACAAAGAAGATGATCCTTCCACATGATTGTTTTTGAATAAACCAAGGTTTGAAAAAAAAGAGAGTACTTCAGGTTTGCGTAAATTCAGAAATGACTTTAAAAGTCATTGTCAAGGTTATTTGAATACGGTGAAAGTCACTGAATGTTCCTGGAATAGAACTCCTTGTATTCATTCTTTCTTCCTTGTAAAATCGTTTTGGGATGTACCAATGTATCCATGCATTTTACGTGTTAAACTTTTCGGTGAGTTATATCATCATTTAGGTGAGATATAATGTGATATCAGTGGTCCTGTGAAATAATAGCATGTGGTTGTATTTCCCTTTTAACTGCTTTATTTAAGTAGGTCTCAATGACTAAGATATTCAGATGTGTTAACAGGAAGTTGTGAACCAAGTTTCCTCACCTTCTACCACTCCTCACCATGGTGCATTTGAAATCTTATAGGAAGAAATGCCCACTTAAGGATCTGAACTTTCATGAGAGAAGGTTTCAGTAACAAACATTGCCTCTGAGATAGTCAGCTCCACGACTGACCTTCTGTAAGACTAAAATCAATACTCTGATCAGTCACTAAGGAGTACACCATGGCAGACATCTAATCATTCGTATTGGTGCAAAATGAATTCATGATGGTCACCGACCCAGTGTCTCGTCATTGTGATGCATTTCGAACCTTCCGAGTAGGGGGAATATCAGTTCCTACAAGGTCGCATATACGCTTTGTTGATGAGTGCCAACAAGCATGACATCCAGGTCCAACGCTTACAGCAAATCGCCTTCAGGCACTTAATAGTCATTCGAAGCTCACCTCACTCATTAATGAGTCACTAAACATGGTGACCAAATGGTAAACTTGGCTAATGAAATTCAGTCAGCAGAAACACTAAGGATCAGAGACATAATATTAATTACCATTACCGTTAATGTTATTATTGTTGTTATTATCATAGTGTACAATACTGAACTTACCATCCAAAATTTTTGCCTAAAACACAATGCCAAACACCACCGTCATATTTATCCATGTGTTTTTTAACATAAGCAGCAATATCTCTTTCTTCATCATACTGTTCTGTAGCTACTGCACACGTGTCTACAACAATTTTCTGTAATCCTGCTTGCATATCTGAAGATTTCATTAAAGCACGACGATTTTCTAACTTCTTGTCCATTTTTAAAATAGGTGTTACTGAGGTTTTGTTTTTTCAACGCTTTTGGTCTAATTCACTTCTGCAAACGTTTTGTCAGAAATATGAATATATGTGCTTGTGTGTGTGTGTGTGTGTGTGTATTAGAAGGTGTGATTTTCTATGGTTGAGGAAAATATGATATATCCTCACAGAACACTTTTTTAAACCTAACTGTTTCAATTTATTCTACAAAATGTATTTTAAGACTGAAAATACTCAAGATATTTTAAAACTACTCTACCCTTATTGACTGTTATCGTCTACAACCAATCTCATGAGAAGATGAGTAAATGTATGCATCTGTATACATTTATATGTATATGTATGACATATATATATATGCTTTAATCAAATATTCTGAATTTACAAAAAAATCAATAATTGTGTATGTAGAAATAATAAAACAAAAAAACAATTAATGCACACGTTGAACATTGAACAGAAAGATTCATACTTATAGTTTTGTATATAGAATAGTTATTATTTATTATTTAATTGCAAATATTATAAATGCTTTTACCTTTATAATTTATTTTAGAAATCTATTTAGCGACTGATACTTGAATACTGAGAAAAAAGGCGACCTTTTGTTATAATGTATTGATAAATTCCCTTTGAATGTATTAAAACAAAAAAGTGGCAACTATTTTCAAATGTCTGACATTTGTTCAATGACTGAAAGTGTATATCAAACAGCTATTGATAGTTGATATTTATTATATAATTGATAAATATAGCAATAGGCATTCATTATTTGTGTTAGCATTAAGTCTTTGATCATGAACACATCGTTTGACGCTGCCATCCTATCGATATGATGTGGTTGTGTTTTTTGAAGTGGGTAGTGTGACTAAGAAGCCTTCGTTGTCTTTGTAGACAAAATCTTCAGCGCCTACCTTGATATGAAGTGAACTAATATCGGAATTCTTGTAAGGTGATTTGAGATAGGTGGAAGGAAGGGTTACACCTACATTTCGTGTTTGTTGACATTCGTCAACAAGGCTCATCTGTAAGACTGAAATTACCTGTGTCTCCTTTATTATTCGAACCTTGTTAATGCCAGAGAGGTTGACGCTGAGGTATTTAGATCCTCAGTTGAACTCCTCCTGAAGGACTTTAATGGACCCTTCGACTGATATCATGCGTTTAGATCTTGGTTTTGGTACAGATTGAAATCAAAAATGACGTGATCGTGTCTGTTGTTCTTCCTTTGCCAGCTGGTAGCTGATATTCTACCAGTGATTGTATCCCTTGATAACCTTTTTTGTGACTAGTTGTTAGTTTGCATGAGTTTCGATCATTTTTATTGGTAAAGCTGTAGTACTGAAGGAGAATTCAAATAAATTCATTACAGATTTAAGTTTTCATTGAAGAGGTTGTCTCGTAAGATAATGAAAGTTTCGCAGTTAAATCCATAGAACACATTCACATCAAAATTATCCATTTGAACTAGGAATTTTCTCTGTTATTTTTCTTCACACCTGACTGGATGGATGGATGTCCCACAGATGATGCTGGTTGGTGGTCGCGCTAAATAAATCACTAATTGATAGAAGTTAGAATTCATGGGTTGGCCACTGAATCGGGTCCCAGTGGCTGAATGGTATACGAGCTTGCCTTGTAAACGAAAGGTCCTGTTTTCGAACCCTGGTGTGTGGGTGCGTGCTTCCGACGATTCCCAAACTAGGATGAAACAGCTGTCCAGTACTCCCTGATGGTTTTCAATAATTCTCTAACAGATATCAATCCGTGATCAACTTGTAAAAAAAATCTAATCCTCACAAACTACCTATTGAAAACTGATTTACAGCGTTTCAGAAATTATTTCAAAATCATTTTAATACTCGTGAGACAGCCATAATTGTAGACGACAATTTACGTCAGTGTTAAGTCTGGATCGGGGTCAGGAGAAAAACAATAACAAAGCCTAGTTATAATAAAGGTTTTTGTATTCCCCAATGAATGAAAAACAAAACGATATTATTTTTACTGACGTTTCGCTATTTAATGCCAATAGCTTTATCAAACCCTAATTTTGAGGAACTCACCAACCAGTCACAGCAGACTTAGCGTGTGCAAATACGATTCGTAGGTATATGGCTCAACTTTCCGAGAAACGGTCACAAGCAGTACAGAATAACCATCTGCAAGAAACAACCGATTAGAAGACGCTGCTTCTCCACTTACAATGATGTATATAAAAATCCATAATTATCTCTTCATTTTCTCAATAAACGATCTGTTGCCTGCTCCTTGTCGTCTGTCGTAACAACAGGACCGATGAGATCAGAATGGGAATGACTAAACGACTGCAAACATAATTTATCAGTAAGCACTTCGACCACTTTCACACGGGAATTTCCATAATGCTTCTGCTGCTGTTATAATAGTAATTAAACTTACTCAAAAGTGAAGGACATGATTAGAACACTCAGTTGAAAATATATTATGGCCGCACTGAATTAGACAGCCCTATGAAAATAGGTTAAGAATATGTCGCTAAATATGTTATAACGCAGTATTGCTGCTTTGTGGATGTCGTCCTACTTGCCTAGATTGGGCCTCCAAACACGACACTTTATTTAATCAGCCAATCACTTGTAAATGCTTCGCCCCACTGAGGTAGACACAAAAGTCAGATTTAATTGTGGCAACAACAACGACCGTAACAATGTTTTTATTACAAATGCAGGTTATAACCATCTGGGAAATTCAAGCCATAAATAAATAATCAATCCTCCAAAAATAAATCGACTAAAAACTGTCCAATCAGGTTATCATGTCAATGCTTGCATCAATCATGACTTTACAGCCAAAAATAATATATTGTCTGTCCCAAATATGTGATCTTTATCACTAATCTGTGCTATTTTGATAGTCACATGAAATCAGATTAAAAATGAAGTTGGAAGTTGGAACCCATTTAACAGAAACAGAATATAAAGTGAGATTCGGAACCCAGATACCAAGGGGCATGAAGGTTGAGGAAGTGGTTAGGCCAGATAACCATATCGATAGCTGCTCTCTTCATGAAGACGGTCACTTATCTTACAGTCAGTGTGAGGTTAATGGAAAAGAGAATCAGTGACCCAATATTTTGCTTCACATATAGCACACTACTGAAACTTACAGAAAATATTGTAAAGTGTTGGTTTCCAGGGGTTTCATTGATTACACGGTTGATTACAAGCTGAAATCAGTTAAGAAGCACTGGAAAACCTGGGAGTACTGGACAATTGTTTCGTTAGCCTAGTTCGGGACTCCTCATCTGTACGCATCTACTGTCAGGGTTCAAATCTAGGACCTCCTGGCTACAAGGCGAATTCGCAGACCATTGAGCCAATAGGACCCAAGCCAATGGTCCATGAATTCCAACTTCTCTCGATTCGTGATATACTTAGTGCAACCACCACCAGTGTCATCCGCTGGTAACTGTCCTCATGTCTGACTTGGTAGATCCCGCCGATGATGACATCTCATTAGGACTCCAGGTTCTTCCTGTATAAAGACAATTGCTAGTGAGCATCAGACAAGTCGACAAGCGTTGGTTTCCAATGTTAGTATCCCAACGTGTGCATATTCATGAAGAGTCCCAAACTAGGACGAAACAGCTGTCCAGTAGTTTCAAGTTTTCCAATGCTTCACTAAATGACGTCAACTCGTGATCAATCCTGTTACCGCCAATAATTTTATTGTATAAATTTTCTTTTGGATAACAAATTTTTTCATGGTTAAAACAAAATTTTCAAAAATTTCTTTTTTATCTTTGATGTTAATTATAAGCATAATAAATATTGAATATTGATCGAAAATGAATGTGTGTCTAGCTGTGAAGATTATTTTCAATTGAAAGTTTTATGTGTAGAAAAAGACGGCACACATTTCTTTGTTTTTTTTCTGAATACGACAGAGGTAAGAGCCAAATTATTTTCTCACCTCTTTATTGTTTGTTCTGATTATTTTCACGAAATCTGAAGCTGTATGCAAATATTGATTTACAGAATGAATTGAACTCAACAATCGATATCCAGTAAAGTGAGTAGCTGGGGTTAAGACAGAAAACTAGCAAAATTGTATGAGTTCTTCAAATTTTTTACGAGTTGATTACGGGGTGATATCAGTTAGATAACCATTGAAAACCAGGTAGGAGTACTGGACAGCTGTTTCATACTAGTTTGGGAATCATTGACACTACGCACCCACATACCAGGGTTTGAAACCAGGACTGTCAGGTTATAAGGCAAGCAACTAGACCCCTTACAAACCAACTCTTGCAAATTAATCTGGTGCCCGCTAGTGGCTTGCTACAGGAAGGAGTTTTCTGGAGTTCTAGTGAGAAGTCGTGATCAGTGAGGTTCAACCAGTCAATTGTGAATGACATACGAGCTTGCCTTGTAAACGGAAGGTGCTGGGTTCGAGTCCTGGCAGTGGGTGCGTACTGTCGATGATTCCCAAACTAGGAAGGAACAGCTGTCCAGTACCCCCTGGAGGTTTTCAATGGTTCTCTAACAGATATCAATCCGTCATCAACTCGTAAAAACAAAACTAACCTTTACAAACCAACCATAGAAAAGTTCTTTAACTGCAATATGCCTGATTGACTTAAATAGTGGTTAACAGAAAAAAAATGTTAAAAAAACTGAACCTATTTATGGGCTTTAGATTCACATTATCGATACTTACGAAAATAAGCGACATCTTAAATAGAGATGTTGTCTATTACCGGTTGCCCCACAATATTAGAATGTTGTAAATGTTACTTCTGGAGCTCGTGACTCCCAGTCCTTTCTATGGCATCAAATAACCTGTCTTTCTGGAGTAGATAAAGCCGGTAAAGTTATCAAGTGAAATAATGTAGACAAAAAGCTAGACGATCATTATGAAGGAATCGTGATGTCATTAATAATATGATCAAATATTGTTGGCATTTTCACCTCGAAAAATTTAATTCTTCCTGTAAGATATTCAATATCAAAAGTGGTTGATTTCGATTAGAAGAACAAGGTTAAAGTATTCAGTGAGACCATTCTCAGGCTGTGCAATCGCACACATTCATATAGTACGCTTTTATAGCAAGAAAGTTAATCTTTCTAAGGTCGAGCTATTAAAACTTCGAGCACTAGATAACAATCAAGAGAATCAAATTTACGTAATATGAAAATACTAATCGAATCGAGACCAAAGTAGAATTAAATCAGTGAACTGAGTGACACAACATAATTAACAGGATTTAGTAGAGCTCTGTGAGGACTGAAGAAGGATGAGGTATCATAAAGAGTAGAAATGAAGTTGTGGGATGGGAGAAAAGTAAAAAAATGAAAATAAATAATACTTTAAACTAACAAAAATTATGT